TGGAGCTGGAGACGGTAGAATACAGCCGAGACGTTTGGTAATGAGTGTCTCATCCCATTTCCTTTTCAGCTCTTTGAACAAAACAAGCCAGTAGATGAGAGACTGTGTAACAGTTTGGCTTTCAAAACGATAATTTAACGTCACTTATTGTTCCATCAGATAAGTCACAATGCATGCTACAGTTAAATGAGGAAAAAAGTGATTAACACAACTAGCTTATATGAATGTAAATAAAGGATATTTGTAACATTCAGTTGGATTCTAACTAGACTGAGTCAGAGACTTCTACAACTATTGGCACCTCCTGGTTAAGATGTGCACAAAATCCATAAAAAAAACATGTTTTGGTTGTCTTACTGTGAGCTTTGGATATTTTTTAACTCCCATAGCATCGTCCACACTGCTTGGCTGCCCAATGTATCTGGGTGCTTTTCCAGCCTCAGTTTTCACAGTTTCAGTTCTTTTAAGCTTGTCAATCATTGCTCTTCCTGTAGATGAGGGTAACTTTACATAAGAACATTTTTTCTTGATCCTTTTTTATTAAGTACACATTGACCATACTTGAATGGCATGTTCTCTTGTTTTCCAATGTTGAAGAGTAGCAAAGAGAAAGTGGGTTCTGCCATGTTTAACATATACACTGCAGCAAAAGAAAGAGTTTTTGCTTTCCAAATTCTTTTCAGGTTTGCCTTTCTGTCATTTTAATTTAAGAGACAACTGGAGTAAAGATGGTGAAGGCAGTTTTTAAATACTGATATACAAGATTCTGAAAATTACAAACGAAAAGTTCTTAGACATTGATCAACTAAATTAAGAAGGCGCTTCAGTTACAGTTCTTTATCAATTATTAGGTCTGCTGTGAACTATTGTGCTGACGATTATGTAAAAAAAAACCCCAAAAAACAAATATATTTGTGAGGCAATTAAAGATTAACTTATTTTTCAAGCTTTTCCATCTTTACCAGGAGGGGCAGTAATATTTAAGACATGTGTATCTTGTTGAAGGAATGAGTATGTTGTCTTGAAGGGATGCATGAGTGAGGACGGACATCCATCAGCTATATTCAGCTTTGTTATAGAAGAAGACATGGATAAATTGATATATGCATGGAAAATTTAAAAAGATGTCAATGACTGTGTGTTGTCAGCATAATTAAATAACCACAACTAATTTTCAATATTTATTGTTAGTCTTAACAATTCAACATCCTCTTGGGTCCAGAAATTATGAGTTATTTCCACACTAAACACATTTTTTGTTTGTCACTCAGTTTCCAAAAGAGAAATGCACCACCAAAATATAGTAATGTCTGTGCATTATTGGAATTATTTGTGAAACTCAAAAACAAAGCCAACCACATTGAGTATAGCACACGATACATTTGGATGGGCACTGCCACGCTATGCAAGATCTTTTATTTTTGATTCATGTTTTCAGTGTTGAAATGTCAGACTTTTCCTTCACCCTTAAGATTCTACTTACTCCTCTTCAGGGTTGTGGTTGGGTCTCCAAGCATTCATAGGTGAGAGGAGGGGTGCATCACTGTTTGTCAGTCCATCACTGAACACTACAGTCAGATGTTTTTCTTGTTGGGTACATTTCCATGTCTAAAAACTTTTCTTAGATGGATTTTAATCTAATCTTATAAACACATTTTGTGAAACATAAAATGATTTCACATTAATTACATTATGCGTAGATGTATTCTGCAGTGTGTGCGTGCTTATTTTTAATATATACAAAATGTTTACTTGACCATCTTGGGATGAAGGTCCAATCCTTAGAACAGAACACAGTCTATGAATGTACAATTGTGGTTTCATAGGTTTTAGCGAAATTACTCAGATAACAGGTTGGACTGCCTTACGGTTGGAGCCTCTTCCAGTATTCAGCATAAGAGATGTACCTTCATCAGTGCAGACAGAGTTTCTGCATAGCGTAACATGTAAGTAATGTTGTTGCTGATTAATTTTTGCAGCATTCATATCAGTTCTTTTACATGTCAGATTTTTTTTTATATCTGAGCTGCCAAGTTGCATGGAGATTAGATTATTACACTATTTTATGTGTGGAAAGGTGAACCTGCAGCATTTGATTTCTTCTATTTTTTTTTTTTTGGAACAAGGTAGTTTTGATCTTGGCGATTACCTTATTATGCTTCAGTCTGCAATGTGAGACCAAACTTGAACAAAAGTCCAAGTAAGCCTGGACATGCAGGCTTACTTGTCTATTAATAGCCATAATTAATAGCTATTATGGCTATTAATAGCCATAATTCATAGTGCTGTTTGATACAACCTTTACGCAAGGGCCCCAACTAAGATTTCAACTAGTAAATGAAGGAATCCATTTCAGCGTTTCCTTCAGTTTGATGTTTTTGAATAAAGACATGAGACTGAAAAGTAAGGAAAATAATCTATAGCCCATTTGTCTTTTTTTTTTGTTTCTTTAAAAATTGTGTTGTATTTTATGCATCTGCAACTCGCCCGTTTTGCTGTCAATCTTTTACATGTGTGGTCGTTCTTGAAGTGTTTATACATTTCTGATTAGTATTTGAAACACAAAGCTTGAGGAGAAAGTGAAGAGTTGGCTAGATTTCTCCACTGGTAGACATCATCATGTCATTTTGCAATCAAGTATGTGTTTTGAAATGGGCCCTTGTACCTTGAGAAAAGGTTAGCAGCATAATTCGATTTGCTGAAGGCAGATATGTCAAGTAACCTCCACACTGAGAAGAGGCCTTTTTCTTCTTTTTTTTTTTGGAGCGCTGTGCTGTAGCATGTGGCCAAATTGGGCTTAAGAGGACTTGATGACTGCCCAATCGTTTTCATTAGTTAATTGGAAAAAATAAGTAAAGCCTCCTTTGGAGTTTGTAGCAAATAGAATAAATCAACTACAGTATTTTGAGAGGCAATGGACTTTAAGCTGACATTAAGTGTTGGATTGAAAACTTTGCTTAGATAACAGGTTGACTGTGAAAAGGTTTTATGAAAACTGTGTGCAGGGTGTGCTTTGTTGAGAATTTGTAATCATCTCCAAAAATTCAAGTGTGGTTGTGTGTTTTCTGCATAGGGTAAATGTTTTGACGTGAGTAGGATTTATCTCACTGGTCACTTGTTGTTTTCACTTTATGTTTTGTTTAGCTATAGCTTATTTGATTGATGATTTATACTTCCTTTTTACAAAGATGTGTAAAAACCTCTAAAATAAGTCTTACCTCTATTGCGGTAACATCATTAAAGTTAAGTTTGGGAACTTTTATTGACTGGCAGAAATACAAAATGTAGAAAAATTTTGTATTTTTTGACAAAATCAGTCTTGTCATAGTAATATGTACTTTACTTTTTGCACATATATGCTGATTGGGGTTTCTGGAAATTTTGAATTAGCAATTCAGTTGGCACTTCTGGGGAAGTTTATTTTAAAGGGTTTTGTGCACATCTTTACCTTTTTTTCATTATTGTGGCCGGGGAGGTTGTGATAACACAAGTTGCTTTCAAATAATGGCCGTAATTCATAGTGCTGTTTGATACTGAAACATACTTTCTGAAGTGTTTTGTTTTACAAAATAAACACAGCTAAGTAGCACTGCTTTTCAACCTGTAATTATTTGTGTTTGTGTTTCTTGCGTTTCACTCCAAGCTGAAAAGAAATTTGCTTTGGGCCATTTGTTGCTTGCTGCACCTTCCCAGAAGGGTTTCTTTTAATAAGAGTTGCTCCACGTACTGTGCAGTGGTGGTTGGGGAGCAGGGCTCATGTCCATGGTGACCGCTGGTTATGTAAAAAGAGGGTCAACCTACTGTAGCTGGGCCATTAGAGAACGAGAGATAACAGCATAAGGGGAGACTATAAACAGAAATCTAGATCTGGGAAATGATTTGCCTTTTGTTGAAATGGAATGTGAGCAACAAATTAGAAAATGTTAAAGATGGCAGTATATACAATAATCCCTTTGTTCTGACGCAAAAACTCAGTTGCTCTCCCTTTTGTCTTTTAAAGTAGTAAGAGACATTTTATAGGTTATAATATAGAGACATTATATAATGAAAACATAGTGATGGCAATTTAAGACAAATGAGTGACTTTTTTTTCCATAACTGCGTCCAAAACAAACATTCAAGACCACATTCCCAACAGATTTTCACCACTTACTGCACTTTTCAAGAATTGTTGTGGAAGATTACAACTAATTCTGTCTTAATTCCTTCAAGCAAAGTGTTTTAAGTGCATGTGCAGTATGTCAGGTATGCCCCATGTTAGCAAAACGCTATTGCACAACAGACTCAGCTAAAACCAGATACTTGCATACACTGCCCAGGGGGACACAGCCGATTCTCACCGTAAAGACAGAACCTTTACAGTTTTAGGGCGGCAAGTAAGAAATAAACGTCAGAAAATAAGATGAACATTTCCAGAGATTGTTGTACTTTTCTACGATTACTATTGTGAAGAGTGCGCACTATTTGCAGTACAAAATTGTAGATTTTTTTTGTCAAAGTCAGAAGTTTATGTTTCAATATCTTGTTGAACTGCCTTTAAACTGTCTGACTTTGGTAGGTAAGAATCTTGTCCCATTCTTCCTGACAGGACTGATGCAACAGAGTTTGGTTTGTCGGTCACCTTGCTGTTGGCTTAAAATAAACACATTCAGTTTTGGTTTGTTATCCTTAAATGAGCTTTAGTTGTTCATAGCTACTTTAAAGGCATATTCAAATTCTGCTTCCATTTTTGCATTAATTATTTCATTAATTCTGCTCAATGCAGACATACCGCTTAAGTCTCAATGAAAACAAAAATGCAATTCAAGCTACTCTCATTCATAAATCAGCGCACACAACCCTGAGCTGCTGCTGGCTAAGAGAGGCGCAGTAGAAGGCAAAGTAGGCAGTTGGCGAATGGCTCTAAATTTAGAGCTTGTGAACTAAATACCAATGACAACAGACAAACTGACACCCACTTGCCCACTTACTCAGTCACACAGCCAGTCAGGTCAGGATTCAACCCCCCCCTCCCCGCCATGAACTCCGGTATCGGGGATCGCGAGCACCCACTCCGCTCTCCTCTACGGCAGCCTCTCACCTTTCTGGCTTCCCACCCTGAGGAGACAGGCACAACTTGAGGCAACCCCCTGAGGGGCCTTCAGGACAGGTAAGCATCACAGGGGCCTCTCTGCAGGTGTACTTTCCACCTCTGATGTGACACTTGTGCTTTGGGTCAAACTCGACCTTGCTTACCACTTGGAATTGTTTCTGCTGGATTTTCCTGGTACTCGTCAGTGTTTGTCAGTTAGCCTTGACAAATATGCATGTTTGCTTTACTCGCCCACAAATGATCAAGATTGTTAAAAATAATTTTGTGAAACTCATAGGTCACACCTTTTAATTTGAAATAACAATGACTAATTCCTTTAAGTGATTGATTGTGGCTGCTTGTGTTGCTTTACAAGTTGGGGTAAAACTTTCTGCAGATTTTTATCCACTGCCTCGCATGTCAACTGTAACAGCACCTTGTTCTCCAGCCACGTCCCCAACATCAGGCCACCAGGGCAATTTCAAACATATTGATTCCCAGATACCCCGACACGGCTGGCTGCCACGTCTGAAGAGCATGTGCTTGGCGTTTAACAACCCAAGGTTATTTAAAGGGATGTGCTAACTTTGCCCTTTTCACCACCCTAATAAATTCTGTCTGCTTCGGTGGGTTTTTGTGCGTGCAGTGGATGCTATATGTTGGCCAATCAATGCCTCTTGTTTGGTCTCCTGTTTTTTTTTTTTTTTTTTTTTTTAAATCTGAACAGCTTGTACTAATGTGAGGTGTCTCCTGTGACTTTTCTGTGCCTCACAGCAACAAATTCCCAGGGGCAGCCATCATGTCGCAGTTTTCCACCATGACAGCCAGGGAGAGGAAACTGCAGGCGGCAGCAATCTGCAGAGAGGTGCAAGGCCAGGAAGGTACCTATGTGATACATCCTCACCTTGACCGTTCTTTTGGTTTTACCTCATATTCCAATCATTTTGTCCATTTACTTTCCCTCTCATGTTCAACTTTGACTATAAACAAACAAACAAGTCAATGCATTTAGAGGGCCAAGAAATAATCCCTTTGTCTTTGTCTTTCAAACGTGTGATTCCAGGGGGAGGACAACTGTGCTCTGCATGGTTGGGGAGGTGGGGGGGAGTCTGAAGGCTACTGACAGCTGAAAGTTATTCTGGCAAATTATAGATCTCATATTTAGATGCAGGCCTGTGACATCTACATAATCAGCGTGCAGTATCATGAGCAAAAAGTAGTTGCTTATTATGCAAAAATAGTTTTCGTTTGGCAATGAAGAGCTACTAATAAATGCCAAAGCAAATTACTGACAAAATTAGTCATTTAGATCAAAGTTACCAAGTCGAGGCACCACCTGATTATAGGGAAAATACGTTTAGGTCTTACTTATTTTTTTAAGTTTTACCTGCAGGTAAAGCTCTTAGGTGTAAAAGAAACATGAAATGGATTAGACTTTCTGGAGCAACATGGCTCAAAGGATCCCGGGAAAATGGGAAATGTAAGGTGCAATAGATATTATTCTCTTTTTTTGGTTTTAATTTAAGTTAATAGTGAATAGGATGGAAAACATCTAGTGATTTTTTACTGAGGAGTAGACTTTAGAGCACCCATGTATGAAACTTGGTAAAATAAAGTAAGACTGAGCCATATCCTGTTCTTGCAGAAAAACCAAAAGAAAAAACTGATGCAAAAAATGTTTATATCTTTGGTAGGAAGATGAATGGAAGGTAAGAAGAAACCAGTAAAAGAAGCAAAACTTGATTGTAATAAATCAAAGAGGAGAAATTAGTTGATAAAAAATACATTTATCGACTTACAAACAGTACAAATGATTTGAACCCATCGATAAACTAAAAATGTTATTGTGCTTGGATGAATGAAAGTGCATGAGAGGAATGTGGTCAGAAAAATAAAATACTTTGATTTAAAGAATGAGAAAAAGTTCAAGAGGTGCAGACATCTTTGCTACTGTTGCCTGTATTAAACAGGCAAAAGTGGTCTGATCACCATTTTTGTACAAATGCATAGAATGTCTAATAAAGTCTCTTCTCACTCCCTCACAGATGCACACATGGACCTTGGGAAGAAAGTGAGTGTTCCTAAAGACATCATGCTGGAAGAGCTGTCGCTCGCCTCCAACCGGGGCTCCCGACTCTTCAAAATGCGCCAGAGACGCTCTGAAAAATACACTTTTGAGAGCATCCATAATGAAACCAACAACCAGCTAAATGTAAGACGTAGAACTGTAATCACCCTCGTATACACATTATACAATGTTGGTACAGAGCTTTGGCTTTAAAGTGTGGATTAAGTCACAGGACCGCTTCTCTGAATGCAGAGTCACAAAATATCCCAAATGTCAGATTGTTTAATTTAAACAAAAGCTTACGTGCAAAAACAGTTTTTACGGTTGAGGCACAAGCTCTTAATTATTGAGTTTAGCAAGGGTAGTAGACAGATGCTACTGTGGGAAAATATATACTATGTGAGCAGTGCAGTGCAAATTCCCCATATTTGTTGATGAGTCAACAAATATGGGGTTTGTTGACAGTTTTTTTTTTAATTTTTTAAGTCATCCTGATTAGCATGTCTTCAGGATCTCCTAAGTCCACCTAAACTCAGCTTCAGTTTATTGAAAAACTTATTTTCCAGCAAAAATGTAGAAAAGTCACTCTCACTTTCACAGATAAACCATAGATTAAAATGCAATCAAGGCACACCAAGTTTCTCTTTGTTACATTTATTTAAACGATAGCGCTCTTGTTCCTCCCGTTTCCCTTTCCCTCTCAGTTGGCTTTGTATACATTACTTTTCCCCCTTGAATTTTGTACATAAAATAATTATTCTGCTTTATATCTAAGATTTTAACCCCCTAACGTTGAACTGAAAAGAAAGACTCGCACATCTCGCTTTATTTATTGCTCTGGGCGATGGGGGCATTTTGTTTCAAGTTGTCAACATTTCCTGAGGAAGTCCCAGAGTAAATCATCATAAATATCTTTCCGATGGATGAAAGCCTACGCTGCAGTATAATTCATCCCGAGCCAAGAAAACAATGTGTCAAAAAGTTGGCAGAGAATTGAGTTTAGCAAAAAAAAAATGTTTAAAATGTATTTCATCTACTCACCAGAAAAAAAGTAGACCTGTCCAGTTTGTATAGCAGAAAAACACCTCAAGTCTAACCTTTAACACACTTTGATTTCTAGTTAGTGAAAATAACATTTTATTATGGAGATATGAGTGTTTTTAAGACCACTACATCCATAATAATCTATTTAAAGCCAATGTAACAATTTGTTTTTGACTTTTTGGTATGCAAGAGTCTGTTTTTCTTGATTATAAAAACCAACCACTGGCCTGGAGGATGGAGTAGAGGGAAAAAAATAAATAAATTATTAATTAATTAATTATACTGTTAGAGAACATTAGCAAAGAGTGGTTAGCTCACTGCTGAGAATAAAGGAAGATCGGTGATGCTGTGGGCCAGATCCATTTAAAGGCCCTATAACCTTGTATGCTGAGTATATAGAGTTATTGAAACACCAAAAGCATGTTGGACTCCACCAGAATTCGAAAATAGGGCGTCAGGACTTTAAATACTGATTAAAAACAAAGATTAATGCAAAACAAAAATCAACTTTTTTCCATCTTTTTGATCTCTCTTACAGAGCCAAGAAGTTTTCCAGATCGAGTACAACCCCGCCTCCGGCGGTGGGAATGATTTGGCTGTCGAGCAGCCTTGTCAAGTGACATCCAATGCATCAGATGCCACAATGGTGCCAAATCCGGACCGCATCGCGCCAGGTCAGTAACATTGCTGATACAGTACACTGCAACATGTTTCAAGGACCCTGTGGAATCATGTGCTGTTGATACGCTGTGGCTAAAAGTGTCTGGCAAAGCCCTGTTCTATCGCTCCGCTCTCTTCCAACCAGTGTCCCGGTGAAATTATTTACTTTATTTCCATAATTCAGTCAAAATAAACTTTGAACAAGCTTCGTTTACTTTATTTTATTTCTGATTGCATATGCATTAAGTGTACAATGCAGCTTTTGCTTCGGGTGGAGACGCCGAGAGGACGTGGTGTGCACAGAGTACTGGATGTTCCCTGTTTTGATAAGGATTCAGCCATTTTCATTGTTTGCCCTGATGCTTTGATCACAAAGCTAAACAGTTTCTCCTTGCCTGGAATCTGCCGCCCTCAGGCAAAAATGTGATTACACTTTTTTTTCTTTTTTTTTTTTTATCATTCCTTCTTCTTCTTCCTCTTCTTCTTTGTCCAGTGGCTTTATAGTTCTTGACCTCTTTCCCCTCTCTATCAGCCTTGAACATCTTTTTAAAAATTTGTTGAGTTTTGCCCCACAGGACATGTTTCCTGTTTGCCTCTCTGGCCACAGATACCATCTGCTTTGCGCCCACATTCTCCCTTCATGTCCTAAAGTTTAGTCCAGCTGACAGAACCAGCGCTGCGTTAAGGATCAGTGCATCCTGGGATGGGGTAGGGCCAGTTATTTCTGGACCAGACACCATCCCTACTGTATCTGAATGAAGTCACTCCAGCTGTTGCAGAAACCGGGCCAAAGTGCACACGGTGTCGGGTGGTTGAAACGTCTTAAAATAGCACCGCCGACTCCCACAGAGGTGCATGTTTCGTTTTAATTTGATGCTTCGGAGGAACTTAATCAGACTGTGGTCATAAATATTACACTCTTCTTCAGAAATCGTTGTTTCTCTCACTCTTCAATTAGCTGGTTGTGCAAGAAAAAATATCAGTCAAATGTTTGACCGTTGCTACAGTATTCTTCAAAAATAAATAAATAAATAAAAAATAACAGTGCTTTGTTACAGATTCTTCCTAAAATGTGTAAACTTCCCCTTCAGTTCTGTTTGCTCCCTCCTGCTTCCTGCAGGGTGAAACATAAACTCAGGAAAGGAGGGGGAATTGTTCATTGTATGAGGCTCGGAGGTGAGCAGACAACCAGCCACCCCCTGCACATTGCATAACGGTTGAGCCCCCCCTCAGTGAAGCGCTGAGCTTGAAGGATAGTGCTTTGGAAAGGCCTCTCCCCGTCAACATCCATGTACAAAGAGAGGACACATGCGTGCTTAAACCAGCCTCTTTATTTGTTTTGCTGTGAACTGGAGCAGCAAAAATATGCAAAAACAGCAATATCACACTCCCACATGAACATTTTAAACATTTTATCGTCTGCAAGGAATCTTGAGTTGATATATTGTTCAAAGAAAACCTCTTACACATTTTTTCTTTTATTTATTTATTTTTTTTGCAACAATATTTGCCACAGCTTAAACTTTCTTCATATTTTCCCCATTTCAACCACAAGCAATTTATTTTATTGGTATTTTATTTAATCATCCAACACAAAATATTGTAGAATCTGTTAAGCGGAAAGAAAATGATGAATATTTTTCCCTTTTTTCCAATAACAAAACTGAAATGTGGTATGCATTGTTTTTTTTTTTGTTTGTTTGTTTTTTTACATGATGGATTGAACTGTCCCCTGTCTGAAGTTCTAAATATAAGATCTAATTTTAGAGCCTGATCATGCCTCTGCACTCTCCTCAGTAAACAGAAAAGGTTTATTATAGGCAGAACAAAGGAAAAATGAACAAACTAAATACAGAAGATACACTTAAATATCTTTCAAGCCATACTGATGAACAGAATATAGCATAACAATAATACATAATATGACAATGCCTATAGCACATTAGGGTGGTCGTTGCCTTTGTGCACTATTCTGCTCAATCCAACTCTTGCCTACAGCACAGTTTGTGGTTTCTCCCATTTACTTGGATTCCTCCGGTGGAATTTCTACCAGGCCAATCAGCGAACAGCAGGAGAATTTGTGAACGAGAAATTGTTTTTCTGCCTTGTTTTTAGTATTATTGTCTGCCTGTAGTTTTAGCAATGACAGTGGTGGAAGTGAACGTGCCTCATTCAGTTCAGCACTTTTCTCTGAACAGCGGAGGATGATTGCTTACAGCATATGAAATTTCCGGTAAACTTCATAGCGGATTACGTACGTCAAGTGCAAACGTTAGCGATTGCCTAGCATTTAAAACTTCAAAAGAGTCCACATGTCCAAGAAGCAATTGTTTATCATTAGCTGGCAGCTCAGACCTTCTGTACAAAACATAATGTAGGACATGGGAGTTGTATTTACCAGGTTAACGGAACATAAATAAACCTCAAAGAAATGATCAAAATATAAACACAAAGAAAACCAAGCCCCAAACATTTTAGGTTTATGACATGAGGTTTGTGGTTGTTACAAAAGGAGTACAGCTTCTTTTGCCAGACACTGTACAATAACGTCTGTCCTCCTTTATTGTTTGCTTTTTCGAAAGCATATAAAAAGAAAAAAAATCAGAAAATTAAGAAACTTCATATCTGTGTTGTATGACCTGCTCAGGATATGGAGGTCCTTTGAAGGACATCCCTCCAGAGAAGTTCAACTCTACAGCTGTGCCAAAGTCATACCACTCGCCCTGGGAGCAGGCGATCATCAGTGACCCTGCTTTGGCTGACACGCTCGTCTCCCGCATGCCGGAACTGGAGCCCCAGACAAACCTGCCAGGATACAAAAGCTTCAACAGGTAGCACTCATCAGGAGGGTACTCCAGCTGAAATAAGGATGATTTACATTATCTAATCCATACGCATGTCTACCACTGCTTGACTATGTGCACTAATCCACTATGTGTAGTATATTTAGTTCACCAGATGTCAGATTTCACACACCGTTCTTTTCTTTATAATAAATCTTTCCAACATATTTCCTAAATCTATTACTTTTAGGTACTTAAGAGTGAATTGCGGCGTTCACCTTCTACTTGACTTGTAGTGTGATGAGTCTGTCCCTTTAATTCTATAACTTATTAGAAATTTCTACTTCACATATCAAGAACTTATTTATTTATTTATTTATTTTCCAGAAATTTACTCGGGGATGTAGGACACATTCAGAAAGCTGCAATCTGCAACTTCACCACTAGGAGACAGCGGAGTCCCACACGGCCCATTTAATTACTCATTTATCAGTAACAAATCAGATGAATATGCTTAGATGGACACACATTTTAAAACATCACCACCAGATGTTAGTATATTCTATACATTCCCTTTAATTATCTTTTCAAAAATATTTGCACTACATAGCGATAACAAATAATTTCTTGTAAATTAAATATGGGATTAAGCTTCACCTGTTTGCATTCTACAGCTTCCCCACTAGGTGTCAGCAGAATTTGCCCTTATGTAGTTTGTTTTCAAGGAAAAAGAAGCTTCCCAATAAAACTAAAACCATCTCATAACATCCAATTATGTTATGAATGTACAATTTATCAGTTTAATATTTTCGTTCAGGTTTCTTTTACTTAATAATAGCAGACGTATTTCTCCAAATTCACTTCTTGTGGTCATCTTGCATTGTGCTATCATTATCCAAAACATTACTATTCCAAAGTCAAGCATTTTATAAGCATCTTGCAACAATTTACCTTTTTCGGTTTAATCATATAGAACACTGCCTACACCTAACATGGTGTGAACCTCTCTGTATCCAATGCAAAGTTACAGAACACCCCCTGGTCACATCCTGGCTTTAATTAGTTACACAACTTCAAATGTCACAGCAGTGACTCTCATTAGCACATGGCAGCCAACATTAACACCGTCCCTCTGTCACCTCCAGGGTGGCAACCCCTTTTGGAGGTTTCAGCAAGGCGCCGAGACCCGACCCCATCGCAGTGCTGCAGGTGGAGGCGTTCCCAGAGGTCCCCGCTCTCCAGGGGGATTGTGCTCCGAACCGGCCATCCTTCAACAGAGCGGCTCTAGGGTGGGTGTCATCCGGTGGCTCAGTCACACTCCCGAATGTCTCCCTCGAGCCCACACTCATCCCTGAGTCAGAAGACCTTTGAACCCAAGCAGAAACATCACAGGGGAGGCTTTGGAAGTAGCAGCTTCACCCAAGGTTATTGTGGGGATGGTGACATTTGTTTCAGAGCAGGAGCTTGAGCGAAAACCTCCTGTTGGTAATTGTCACACAGATGGTGGGAAAGGTAACCATGTAACTTAAGAAGAAGCTGTATTGGAATAAAGTAAGATTGTATATTAATGTCCACAACAATGCTTTTCTCAAAATAAAGTTAGGCAAAGTACAACAGAAGCAATCTCTAGATTTGTTTTCTTTGTAGTTTAATGATAGTGATGTTAAGATTTATCTTTATGTTTTTGTTTTGAACTGCAGCTTTGTAGCCGGTTTCATAGCATGCGCCCAGTGTGCCGGAGTGAGCGACACTGACCTCTCAGTTGAGTTTCTGCACGCCACCGTCTCACATTGTGTTGTGTGGGAGGCAGAAGATGCATGTGAGCCAGTGTTGCATGCCTCAAGGTCTCGCATCTTGACAAATCAAATCTGCTCCAGTGACACGAGCGACCTGACGGATGTGTCTTTCACCTTGCGGCAGCACCCGGTTGTTGGGCTGGGATTCATGGCTGAGCCGCTCGATGAGCTGTGCCCAGACGCTTATCTCCCCGTCCCCTCTGTTTCATTACCACAGGAGATTTCTCATGCATAACAGGCTGGCTTTAAGGTGCTTCCAGGTTGGATGAGGCTGTGGTTGAAGTTTGTTAGCAATTTAAGAAACTGTCCTCCTTACATGAAATATAACCATGATTTATTTTCTCATTAGATTTAAAATTTGCAGTTGCTTTGAAGCTTGCATCTTAATTAAAGAGAAAATTCCTTTATTATCTTGTTCTCACGGGTTCCTACCACTTATTTGTTCCCTTTCACATAGTAAATGTGGGGAACATTTCAGATATTAGTTTGAATTCTGTAACTATTATGTAACAGTCGGGTAAACATTATGACCACCAACTCAACAGCAGTGCCAAACCAGTCTGATATCTCAAGACCAAGACCCGTGTGGAGTCTGTCACCAAGAAATTGGCAGCAAAACCTTTAAATTGTGTTGGACATTGGGTTTCTGTTGATCGGAGCATCATTTCTCAAACATTCATGTTTGGATTCAGATTGTCGAAATCTGGAGGCCAAGTCAACATTTTGGTTTTTGAGAAATCGAAGCCAAATTTTGCTGTAGGGCAAGGGTTTCAAATGAATCCAGAATTTACTTTAATTCATTTATTTCATAAAGTTATACATCAAATGCATTATTTTATATTGAACATTTTCAGAAATTGTTTTCTAATACGTTCAGAATTTTATGGTTGATCTGTAAAGTTTTGCAGAAAATCCATTTCTTAGTGCAGTAACTAATATCTGGATATCTTTTGAGGTTTTCTTTTTTACTACTCTTTTCCATGGATGTCTCAATTGCAACCAAGTCCAGGTTATTCTGACTTATTTCTCCTTTTACCACATTAACCTTTGCTATCTGGCCTGTCAAACTGCTCTAACTGTAGATGAGGTCCCTTGGTCTTTGTGACCCCATGTGGTGAACAGCTGAATAAGGCAAAATGAAATCAAAGTGGGACGAGGAGATAATACAGCACAGTATTTATTATCGGTTTGAGTGTTGGTCGTTTGGTGACGTTTGGATCAGATGATTGAAAATCTGCAAACACAGGCGTGCACCAACAGGATAATAAACACAAGCACAGCTTGTTTGGAGGGTCTGATTTAGGCTCCCTGAAAGGCCACCCTAAACCCCAGATCATACATAGCAACCTTTTTGTAAACACATGATTAAAATAGATTAGCAGTCATTTGTCTTGCACAGATTATTTCTGTGTTTGGAAATCCTGTTTGGGGGGGATTTGATTGTTTTGATCAAGTATTCCAACTTACAATAAATTTTTATTGAAAAAAGTTTTCAAGGGACAGCTTTTTATTTAAAAAAAATGACTGTACGAACAAGTGACTGTACAGACTAGTCTTGCAAGCTTCTCAGCAAACACTGGCAACTCTTACAAAATATAGCCTAATGAGAAATAACTACATAACACGACTCATCTTTCGATCTCTTTTGGATTACGTAAAAAATGAAATAGTCAAAACAATGTTTAAATCTTTCTTAGGGGGAGGTTGCTGTGAAGGGAGGAAGTTTCTGTTATCTGTAGAAAAACTTCATTTGAAGCACAAGAAATCAGTGAATGTGCAAATTAAAATTCCATTGAAATAACTGTGGTACCTTTTTTTTTTAATACCAGATATTTTGAACTGAATCTTTGGAAGAATGCTGCAGCTTTGTGAGAAGAGTTTTTCAACGGCGAGTCATGTCCCCTGTGTTTCCAAAACTGAGTTAGGAAATGTGTCTCATGTTTCTTAGAGGCTTGTTACTAAGTCCAGTGTCAGCATTCCTAGGCTCTGTCAGAAGGCCTTCGGAATGCGCAGCTCCTGGTGCCACGCCCGTCTCCTAGTCCTGCTGAATTCCTCCGGCCAGCACACTCCACAAAGTCGCTGGCGGCGCAGTGCAGCCGGTGCCACCGTCTCTGCCAAGGACCGCAGAAAACATCCAGCATTGTTTATCAAAGAGGAGACGTGAACTCTCTTTGAACTTTTGCATATCGGGGGGTATAAAAATGCAGCAGCGGGAATGTTATTAGCAGGGAGTGGAGCAGAGGCTGAGCGCTGAGGAACCCAGATGATTTGATAATTAATCTGCAGCCAGTTTCCCTTCCAGCTTGTTTCCCTCGGCCTGAAGCTGCACTAATAAGAAAATGGAGTTGGATTTGTCCGCATAGAGTTTGGTTAGTGTTTAATTATTTACATGAATTGTGGGAATATTAGTAGCCTTCTTGAGATTTTTCCCAACTTTTCCACACAAATCCGCATCAAATCCCACGTTTAATTATAGATAGAAAAGTTCAATATGAATTCACTGTAGTTATTTGCAGGGGCGGCGTCAGGAATCTTGGGCCCCATGACAAAAAATTTAATCGGCCCCCCCACACAGCTGCAATTACAATTTTTTGAGTCTATCTGACGCCATTGCTTTTTTTTGGTTCAAAACTGATAACTAGCACAATATTTACTGCTCATGAATTTTACATGCAACAGTCCATATCCAGTATGCAAATAGGTTGCTTACATTTTTTTCTATTAGTTTTAGATTGCTGAAATGTCTCTCCCCACCAGCAATAGTCATAGGCAACATGCAAAATATACATAAATCAATCCAGACTTCTCAAAAAATGCTGTGTAGTTGCATTTTTTTCAAGCTGGAGTAAATTACTTTAATAAAAAATATGTTTTCTCCATATTTGTTAAAGCTGTCACCATGCTGTGCCAGTTTGGTACAAGAACAAGATCAATACATGAATATGTTGATAATTTATTTCTTTGATTCATTAGATGCTAGTGAAATGGAGGGAAACCATAGTTTGTAGCTAAGCTAACTATGCTGAATGGTCAATAATCTCACACAGTCTTCTCACCTCGGAGAAAAACTGGGTTACAAATTGACACTTTTGCCTTTTTCTCTTTCTGTCTGTCTATTTTTTGAAAACCTAACTTCATTATTTTTCTCAGCAGCATAGTAACTGTCACAGTCGTTCTTGTCTTCCACTGACTGCTGCTGAACACCGTCACCGTCAAGCTCCAAGCAGGAAGGAACCATTTCATTCAGGTTTGGGGAGGTTCAGGCAAATGTGGATGTCTCCTTTTTAGTCTGAGACTGAGAGGGGTAACATTTGCTTTTTACTGCTAAAAAAAACATTGTAGAAAACACAATATAATTAATTTTGAAATTGACAGGGCTACATTTTTTTTTTTAAAATTCTATGAACAGTGAAAGAAAAACAAAACATTGTGGAGGGCCCCCTGTTTGTCAGGGGGCCCTGAACAATTCCTGACAAACAGGAATTGTATTAACTTTTCCCCTCTATATAGCGCCCCTGGTTATTTCTATCTAGGTTGGGTTTTGAATACTGAATCTGAAAAACCATAAGAGTTTGGTTGGGAAATTAAGGAGGGAAGACATGAGAAAGGAAGAAAAAAAGGAAGAACTTGGAAGAAATTATGGAAGGAATCACAGACAAGTTGTTGGAATATAGAATACAGTTTGCATATACAAATATCATCCCATTTTTACTCGTCCAGAGCCCTAACATGGGATTGTGCTTGAATTGTTCTCTGAAGCGAAGCAGACAGTGTGAAGGAACCTTAGTGTGCAACTCTGCACTAAGGGAATATAATCGCACGCACCTGACAGGCATCCAAGTGTAAAACGACCACTTGTTATGTAACATGAAACCTGACAAAATGAGAACAGTCTGTTTTTCTGCCTTCAACAGGTGCAAAAGTTGAGAGGTGTTGAATTTCTCCTCTGTCTCACAAATCCCCTCCTGGTTTTCCTGTGTGACCACGCTCCATCTGAGTCCACCAGACTCCTGTATCTTCATCGGCGCATAACAATGAGCCTCGCTGCCATTGCAGTCAGTGTCATGTTTTAAAGCTCAAACTCCCTCGGGTTTCCATTTGCACACTCAGCACTGAGCGCTGAGTCTGCTGTATGCTGCTGACACAAACAACCGCTAAAAGGCCCGAGCCACTTGACTCGGCCAGCCGATATCCCAGAAGGGGTCCTTTAAGTACACATGGGCCGACAAGAAAACAAATGTGCTGTGAAGCATCCACAAGGGCAGGAAGTTATTGCTCTTTCAACTGGGCAAAAAACAAAAACTTTTGTGGAACTCACTGCACTGTTCATAAACAGATATTACACTTGGCAGTTTCAAGGCGTAAGTTTCATCTTTTTCGGTGTACACTGCCTTGTTAAAAAGCATTGAGCTTCTTCCATTGCTACACATTGTATCTACAAAGTGCAGTGTGTCAAATCTGGCCTGACACAGCCCTTTATGAGGCCCTCTTGCCACATAAAGTTAAGTTATGCCATCAGCCTAATCAAATCAGTTATTTCTTTTATTGCATCAAATTACCTTTATTTGTGAAAAGTTCTCTATTATTTAATTATAAAAGGTTCTTATCTACATTTTTACAGTTTGTCAATAGGTCGTTTCATCACCAGATTCTGCCACATCCGGCCCTTTTTAGGAGATTCATGATCTCGCTGTGACAAAAACGAAATTAATTTTGACACCTCTGGTTTAGGTCAAAGCATATTTATGTTTTGGAATGACCAAGTCAAAGCTTAAACATAAATCTGATTGATAGACTGTGACAAGACTTGAACAATTATGTTC